TGTGATAGCAATTCTTGTATATGCATGTGTAACATATATGTAATGTTATGTGATAGTTTGAGTATAGCTAGCATAAACTATGGAAGGTAGCCTGCCCTATTGCCAGCTCCGGAGTGTGTGGCTGGGCTCTCACGATGGGGAGTTGTGGAATTTCGGGTCCCTTGCTGTAGAATTACACTATAAATTTGAGAATTCATGCCAGTAGAATAGGATGGAATGTGGTTTCATTTTCCCTTCCCACCAGGATCTTGCCCAATTTGGCAACTGGATGCTAAATTAGGGTGGGATTAGTTGAGGGAAGTGGTCCCCTGTGTAGCTGCGTGTCTAATGGAATGTTACAGAAAGCATAGTGGTTATCTGTTACCGAGAGATTGGGAAGGGACAGAGAGCGTCTATCCCCATGGGCATCAGAAACACCTTCCTGTCTTTGTTCCTTTATCCCTAACTATCCTTGTGCTAGAAAAACCATACACATGGAATTACCCCTCCTTCTGCTTCTGTTTTCCACCAACAGTACAAGCAGAGTGGTGGTATCTTACGGGGAAAATGCCCAGGAGACTAGGGGAATGGAGAACTTACCTGATTGTAGGCTACTCTGCGCCTCTCATTAGCCTGACCCCATAGCACATCCCACAGTTTCTTGGGACCTCAGTTTCTCCAAAAACATGACCTGGTGGTAGTAGCTTGCCTCTGTCCTGCCAAGGAGCTGACTTATATGTGTGTGTGTCCTACAGGGAGAAGTGACTGGTATCCTTTCCTGCCTTGTCCCGCCACTCCAGAGCTCTGTTTGTTTGAACAAATCACTACAGATTTGATGGCATAAAACAGCAGAGGTGACTTCCCTCACTGTTCCCCAAGCCAGATGTTACCAGTTATGTGTGCTTTCCCCAATCCTCAGGTGGAGACCCCTTTTGTGTTTCTTTAGCATCTGATGGTTTCAGGTTCCGTGGCTTTGACCACATCCCTGCACTCCTTGTTTAGGTGGTTACATTGCCTTTTCCTCAGGGCTGTGTCTTCTCTGCTTCATTGGACCCCAGCCCTTATGTCTTTGCCTTGTTCTGTGTTTATAAACAGGAGAAAACCCTTCTCTCTGGGTGCTCGGTGCGGTAGATCTGAGCTCATGTACTCTGAGGTCAGAACCACCGCCCTCTAGTCAGCAGCTGTCAGTCATCACCCAGACCTGCCTCCTCTCATGTCTGTCCTATTCTTGCTTTGACCCTGCCTGCAGCTGGATCACCCCACATCACCTCCACCCTTGCTTTGGTTCTCCTGACGTAGCTTCCCTAAATCAGTTTGTCAATGCCAGCTGAGGTCTGCTGATGACTTCAGGGGGACAAACCCCTTGCTCCTCTGCTTGACTCCTGCTTTTATCCTATCCTGCTCGAGTTACTTCCAGAACCTTCAGGAGCCAATGTGAGCTGTAAAGATGGTCTGAGAAACTCCACAGTTTGTTAAATGAAAGTGGCCCTGATTATACATCAGTAGCTTCACGGTGACTGATTACCTGAGGCTAGAGCTCCACTTAAGAGCTAAGCCCTGCATTTCAGTGACCACGGGGACAGCTGGAGTATTTCTTCGTGATTGTTAGTCAGGTTCTTGACCAGTTCTCACAGCTACCTTGTGAGGCAGGCTTAGTGCCATCACTCATGGGTGACATCACACATGACACCATGTGGCATCCTGGGAGTCAGCCTTGTCAAGTTTGTTCCAGATAATCCTTAGACTGCCTCACCACTTAGGTGACCTTTGAACTGGCAAAATCCAAGGTCCGTCAAAACACAAATGAATGAAGGCCATCTGTAGGCATCTTGGCACTGCATAGATAAGTCCATGGCTTGTTGAAAAGAATCCATGTTCTGTAGAAAGCCCTAGATTTGCTCCAAGGATAGGAAAGATGTTTGAGGAAGATGCTTTGGAAGGGCATGTCTGCTGGGAGGAGAGCAAGTGCCAGAACTTGTATATTCTGAGACCTGGTTATGTCTGAATCTAGTACAGTGACTGGGGACTAGCCACACGGTGTTTCTGAACCTCCGTTTCCCTTCCACAAAAGGAGATTTGTGGATAGACACAAGACTCATACTGTGGGGACTGGAGAGATGGCTCAGCAGTTAAGAGTACTGGCTGCTCTTCCAGAGGTCCTGAGTTCAATTCCCAGCAACCACATGGTGGTTCACAACCATCTATAATGAGAGCTGGTGCCCTCTTCTAACCTGCGGGCATACATGCACAGCGCTCAGACCTAAATAAGTAAAACAAAATTTAAAAGCAGACTCAGGTTGTACAAACAATTAGAGTTCAGTAGATGCTTATGAGTCCCAGCTCGGCTGGGACGCCCTTGTTTCCCCTGCCTTCTCAAGCCTCCCACTCCCTCGGTCCAGCCAAGGCAGCCAGTCCATCCTAGGAGCCTTCTCATCATGTATTGACTGACAGCATATCCTGCTGTGGTTAGGCCACTCGTATGGACCTGGGTGCTTTCCTCTCTGTCGTCAGGGCCTGATGTGGTTAGCTCGCTAGCTGGATATACTCTGAGATCTTCCAGGGGGGGAAAAGTCTCAGTGAAGAGCTCTAATCATCAGCTTGGCCTGTGGGCATGTCCAAGGAGGGTTTTTCAAATTCATCTATTTATTTTACATCCTGGAGTCAGCCTCCTCTCTTATCCTGCCCTCCTAGTCCCGCTCCCCCATTCCCTCCCTCCTATACCGCAATCTCCTCCTCTTCCATCTCTACCCAGAAAAGGGCAGGTCTCTTATGAGTATCAATAAAACATGGCATATCAACTTACAGTAAGACTAAGCACCTCCCCATGTATTAAGGCTGGGCAAGTATAAGTAGGATCCAAGAAGCCAGTAAAAGAGTTGGAGACAGCCCCTGTCCGTGATATTAGGAGTCCCACAAGAGGACCAAGCTACACACCTGTAACATATATGCAGAGTGCCTACATGCGGGCTCCCTGGTTGTCGGTTCAGTCTCTGCAAGCCCCTAGGAGGCCCGGTTAGTTGATTGTGTGAGCTTTCTCATGATGTCCTTGACCCCAAGGAGGGTTTTCCTGATTACCTTAGCTGAAATGGGATGACCCAGCCCACTGTGGAGGACGCTATACCTGAGTTTGAGCCCCCGGGCTGTATAAGAATAGGGAAAATGAGCTTGGTAGCACACGTGCCTGCATTAATTCACTTTTCTCCACTCTTGAGCGTCGGTGTGATGTGATTGGCTGCTTCATATTCCTGCTGATATAATCCCTATAATAATGCCCCTGGAGTTTGACCTAAAACAAGCCTATTCTCCCCTAAATTGCTTCCGGTCAGGTGTTTTATCACAGCAGCAGGGAATGAAGGGGGAGACTGCCTGATTCTGAGCCAGGTATACAGCTGGTGCTCAGAACGTGTCTGTGTTGAGGGGAAAACATAGCTGTCTCTTCAGTGGAAAGAAGAGAGAGTTTATTCTGGAGGCAAATGTAAGTGGCCATGGTCCAGAAAAACAGATTCAGGTTATCCCAAACACCATGTTCAAACATATGTCATTTTTTTTTATAGTAACAGGGGGGAAAAACAAGGTAAATTTAAAATGCATTGGTGGGACCATCAGTAGGTGGGTTACAGTCACGTCTCTGCTATAAGCCTAAGGTGGAAGCTAAAAAGGATTTGCCCCAAGGATGTAAGGTCAAATCCAAAGGCGAGCAAGAATGTCTATTAAGGGGACTAATAGGGAACCCAAGGTAATTTGGTGTCTGGCATTGCAACATTCCAGCTCTCCATAATCACAGAAGTTCAAGTCCGTCTGTCAGCCTTGCAGAACCTTTAATACGTGTGCAGCAGTTTTTCTTGGAACTTCAGTTCATGTCTGCATAACAGAGGAACCTCTCTAGAGCGACTTTTAGCTCGGCGCCTAGCATGGCCAGTCTCTGGAAAGACCAGCTCAACAAAGGGTGGAATTGCTCTGGCTGGGGCTTGCACGCTGCAATGTTTCCCACTTCTGGTGTGTATGGGAGCAGGAAAATGGTCCTGACTGCTTGCTAACAAGTTCTTAATGCCAAACTTCCCCGTGCACAGACAACCTCACTTACGGCCTAGAAGGCACTGGGACCATTCTCTTGCCAAATGTACTGGCGTCGGAGGCTCGGAAACTTCCTAGTCATGCTTAGGAGGAGGTGGTAGGGGTGTGTGTGTGTGTGTGTGTGTGTGTGTGAGTGTGTGTGTGCGTGCTTGCGCGTGTGCGTGTGTGTGTGTGTGCGTGTGCATGTGTGTGTGCATGTATCCTGGCAGCCTGGCTCTGGGGCACAGCCTCCAAACTGTTCCAGCCATTTTTCTGCAGGGAGACGGGGCAATTTCCCTGCAGCTAAAGGGAGTCCAGGTCTTCTGGTTTAGAGGGAGGCATCTGGCTGGAAGATGAGGAGCAGGACTCCTGAAGACTCCATACCTGCTCTATGAGACCGCAGCTCACATATTAGCTATCTCCCTCATGGCTGGGACAAATCACCCATAAAAGCAACTTCATGAAAGGTTTCTTTGGCTCATGGTTTGAGGGTGCAGCCTATCATGGTGGAGAGGAGGAAACTGGCTGTATCATGGGTGTAGTCAGAAAGCAGAGCAGGATCAATACTGCTACCAGGCCTGCTTTCTGGGTTTTGTCAGCAACCCCAGACTATGGCATAGTGCCGTCCTTGCATAGGGTGGGTCTTCCTACTGTATCTTAATCTAGAGAAACTCTCGCAGATAAACCCAGAAGTGTGTGTCCATGGTGATTCTAAATCCAGTCAAGTTGATAGTAAAGATTAGTCATCACAGTGCTCAAAGCCAGCCTGCACTGTGACTCTCCTGGCTCCTGGGCACTTTAGTTGTCTCTTAGGACTGAGTTAGTATTGATTGTGACCCAGGCTGAATTATATGCATTCTGTTTTGAAACTTAATTGTACCCTGTGTCTACATGGATCCAGGAGAGAAACTAACCCTGTCCCAAGCGTCTCAGGTTTCAGGTCCCTTAAACATCCTCTGTGTCTGCAGGTCCCACAACGGATGGCTGTGGCAGAGGGAACCCCAGAGGACAGTGGTGGTGGCTCTCCAGGAGTTTGGGGCTCTTGGGGCCCCTGGTCTGCCTGTTCCCGCAGCTGCAGTGGCGGTGTGATGGAGCAGACGCGTCCCTGCTTGCCCAGCAACTACCGCAGTCGTGGAGGTTCGCGACCTGGTGGCCCTACGCTGTCCTTCACTGGCCATGTCGTGTCAGCCGTACGCACCTCAGTACCACTGCATCGAAATCGTGAGGAGCAACGTGCCCAGGCTGGCCCCGATGCCAGCCGCCCAGGCCCCACAGTGGTGCGAGGCAGCCGCCACCCACAGGCCCGGGTCCGAGAATCCTCAGAGAGAAGGTATGTGCACACCATGGTCCCTGTGTCTGTCCCTGCCTTGACAACAGGGGAGCCTCTACACTGATTGTGCAGAATGAGAGGAATTCTTACCACAGCCCCTTATGTGCAAAAATGTGCCTGTGGGGGCCGGTGGAGACCATAGCAGGGCATCTGGTGTGATTCCTCAGACAAAATCTACCCTTTAGTTTTTTGAAAAAAAAAAAAAAAGTCCCTTACTTACCAGAAACTCATGATTTGGCTAGGCTCCCCCACCCCTACCTGTGTTCTTAGGGGTGGAACGTGGGTCCTCCTCCTTGTGTACAATTACTTTATTGACTGAGCCACTTTCCCAGCCCCCCGCATAGCTTTTTACTGATTTTACAGCCTCTACAGTCCCAAGGCCACTCCTATCCCGCTCTTTGATTGTAAAATTACTCCTCAAAGTGAAGAGGTAAATGGAGGCTGCTCGTTTGTTTCCCAGCCACCCAGACCTGAATAACCACATAAAAACTATATCAATTGCAACACTGCTTGGCCAATGACTCAGGTGTATGTCTAGCTAGCTCTTATATCTTAAATTAACCCATATCTATTCAACTATGTATTGCTATGAGGCTGTGCCCTACTGGTGAGTTTCCAGCATCTTTCTCCTTTGGCAGCTACATGGAACTCTTTGACTCTGCCTACACACACACACACACACACACACACACACAATCTATCTATCTATCTATCTATCTATCTATCTATCTATCTATCTATCATCTCTGTTCAAATTTCCTGTCTGTCTTTACTCTGCTAAGCCATTGGCCAAAGGAGCTTTATTCATCAACCAATAAAAAACAACACTTATACAGAAGGACACATGGAGCAAATTCTGAGAGGCCATTAGACGTCACACTTCAGGGAGATCTGTGAAGGTGTGAAGAGAGGAGGAGACCCTGTGTGCTGATTGGACACAAGCTAAAGTTACCTGAAAGGAGGAACCACAAATGAGAAAATGCCTCCATAAGATCTGACTTTAGGGCATTTTCTTAATTAGTGATTGATGGGGGAGCACCCATCCCATTGTGAGTGGGGCCACCCCTGGGCTGGTGGTCCTGGGTTCTATAAGAAAGCAGGCTGAGTAAATCATGAGGAACAAGCCATTAAGAAGCACCCCACCATAGCCTCTGTCTACATCAGCTCCTGCCTCCAGGTTCTTGTCCTGTTTGAGCTGTGCACCCACTGCTTTTGATGATAGACTGTTATCTGGAGCAGTGAGTGAAACAAACCCTTTTCCTTCCCAAGTTGCTTTGGGTTGTGGTGTTTCACCATAGCAATCGTAATCCTAATTAAGACACTTGGGTCCCAAGATGGCACCACTGTGCTGGGAAGAGGTGGGGAGCTAGAAACCACTTGTCACAGGCTGTGTGGAGTTAACGAGAGGACAAAACACAGAGACTTGCTCAAAAATGAGGTCTCCTAAACAGACCTAGATAATCACAATATCAAGTGACATACCCATAGGGATGGAGGAATCTCACCTACATGAAGAGCTATAAGCAATTAATGACTCCGTTGAGAGGGGAGAATCTGTCCTTTCCAGGAATGAGACTGCCTGATAGACTATCCAGTCCTAGGAGGTCAGCCCTAAATACATATGAATAATACATATGGACTCAGTGGGAGATATACATACATACATACATACATACACATATATAAACAAGAATAAGGAAGAGATCACGGATTTCAGCGGGAGTCTGGGGACGCAAAACACAGAAAGAATTGGAAAGGAAAGATGGAGGGATACAAATGATGAAAGCACAGTACTCATGTATGAAATTCTCAAAAAATTAAAAAAGCAGGTGTATGAAGAGCTGATGTGTGCCGCCAGTCTTTGGACGGGTTACAGGTTTGGAGTCTTAGCTAACCCCCAGCTGTGATTACGGAATCCTGTAATAGTAAATATTTTTTCTAGGAAGTTTCTAGATGTATTTTCAATACGTCATGTTACTGTGGATGCCTCTTTTCAGAAGCTCAGGCCTCAAGGTCTCCTGTCTTCCTCCTCGCTGTGGCCCCCAGCGAGTTCCCCTATCTGAGATACCTATGACACTTTGTGATTTAAATGTTTGTTTGTTTATGTGTGTGAGCCACGTGTACCCAGAAGCAGAGGATGTGGATGACATCGGGTGTCCTGCTCTAGCCCTCTGAGCCTGCCTCTTTGAAGCAGTCCTTCACTGCACCTGAAGCTAGGCTGGTGGTGACTAAGACCCAGCCGTCCTCCTGTCTTTGCCCCTCACAATGCTGAGATCACATACAGGGCCACGCCCATTCTCATGTGGGAACTGAGTATTTGGACTCAGATCATTGTGCTTTCAAAGCAAGTCCTCTTACCCACTGAGCCATCTCCCCAGACTACCACAGTGTTCTAGAACACAGAACTGTCTATGCTTAAGAGAGAGAATTCGGGATGAATTTTCACATATGGTTAACATTCCCTGTATAATCTGGCATTGCCTCCGTGGCCAAACCCTGGATTATTTCTCCAAGGAACCATGAATGCTCCCACCAAATAGGATAACAATAAGACTCTAAATAGCCTAAACCAGTGAAAATCAGGTTTCCTGCCCGGTGAGTATTGCCACCAAAGCATAATAAAAAGACAGAGCCAAAAACTTGCTTTTCAGAATTCTTGATTTCAAAACCGCGGTGAGGTCATCCCTAAGGTTCGTTACGTGCCCATTGCTCACTTAGGTGCTGTTCTTGCTGCCTTCTGCTGACACCTGAGACAGGCGCTAATATTATTTTCCTAAAGGGGAGGACATAGAGGCTCTCTTGAGATGGGTGCTTTCCCCAAGGCTCCAGAAGCAGTGGAGGAAGTCAGGGTTCGCATCAAGGTGGTGGTAGCTCTAAGGAGTAGATAGAGCAGAGATGATAATACAGTCGGTGTCTGGGGACTGAGGAGTTTGAGTGACAACCAGCATTGTAGAGGCAGCCAGTAAGGTGAAATCTGAAGGTGCACTGTTAGGCTGCTTACAGTACTCAGATCTGTGGGGGACACCAGCTTTGGGGCTAGAAACCTGGGACTAGGAGGGAGGTGCTGGGTGGGAAAGGGGCTCTGTGGTTGAGCTTCTAGGAGATCTGCCAGGAGGTGCAGGCTCTGTGCTCCTCCTGACCATGCTGCAGACATTCAGCTGAGCATTTGATAACAGGGTACCTTTGCTCTTCTAACTTACTGGCAAAGGGCCAGTTACTGCTTACTGTGAGGTTCCTACTCGGTGTTTGTCACGCTCTTGTAATTTGACGGTTTCAGATGAAACAATCCAAATATTAGCTGGGAGGCCTGTGCTGCTGAAGAACGCTGGCCTCTTCCTGACTGATGCAATCCACGTTTGCTTATATTTATCAGTCATTAGGCACTCACACAGTGTATCTAACCCCAAGGAGGAATGTCAGCATGTTCCATGGAGAGTTGGCCACTCCATTCTCTGTTGTGGGTTTGAGATTTGAGGCGGAGGCTGTTGGCGTTTAGCTGCTTGTAAAAACTGTTAGGTTGCTGAGCCAAGCAACTGAGAATTTAATTGGAGCCATATAATAAATAGGACGAGTCAACCTTCCTACAAATATTTATGCAATATCCAGTGTGCTGGGAGGCCTGGGACAGACACAACAGTGAATACAGACAGCTCTGTGGGACCGAAAGGCCCTTACTGGCAGGTGGGGACAGTCGTTTACGAACCTACCATGTTCTTGCTCCCCCACCCCATTTGTGTGTGCGTGCACACACGTGTGCACACACCCACGTTCATGCACATGTGTGGAGGCCAGTGGCCAATGTCGCGTGTTCTTCCTCAATTGCTTTCTACCTTGCTTTTCTGAGAAATGTTCTCTCCCCGGACCTGGAACCTAGGACTTACTAGTTTGGCAAGAGGCTGGCACTGATTCCCAGAGATCTCTTGTCTCTGTCCAACCCCCCATCCTGGCCCTGAAATTACAGGTGTGCATTGCTGTGTCTGGATCTTCTAAATGTGGGCTCTGGGGGGATCAAATTCTGGTGCCCGTGCGTGTGCAGCAGCCAGTTTACTGACTGAGCGTCTCCAAGGCCCAGGTTTCTGCTTTTTAAGCGTGAGAATCCTTTCTGCAAAATCGGTGTGAAGTGGCAGCCCAGTGTGTATCCTGATAGAAGCTGGTCTACTCTGGAGGGAGCCTCGAGGCTACTGCTGTAGAAAACTGGACTCTAGACCCAAACGGATAATGGTTTTCAGTCTTGCCTGAAGACTAGACCCCCCCCCCCCCCCGCTCATTCCTTCTCTCTGGAAACCCTGACATCTGCACCATATTCCAGACCGACCTCAGAATCTCTGGGGCTCATCCTCAGACAGGGACAGAATTCCAGTCCAGCTCAGTTTGGGAGCCCATGGTCTTTGTGACACCATATTTGTTTGGGAACGAATATGGAAGTTAATATCATTTTGCAGAATTTTCTACTTTGGTGAGCACATGTCACAATCTCTTACAGTATGTAGTATGTATGTATATTTATGGAGAGGGCATAGCTTGTTTAAACAGAGCTACAGTCCCCACCCTCTCCTTATCTGTTGGGGGTTCTAGTTTGCAGGTCAGTGGTGTAGGCATAGACCCCAGAAGTTGAGAGGCTCTGCTCTGGAGGGCTAGAGAGGACATGTATGCAAATGTCACTCAGCATAGTGTGATGATGGGGACCACGATGAACTCTGGCTCATGCACAATGCATTTAACACACTTACATAGCTCTGCAGGGCAGACGCTGTTCTTCACATTTTACACACGGGCCCATGGACACTCTGAAGAGTGTGGGAACTCACTCACAACTACCCACATCGGAAGCAGCAGCTGGTTCTGGCACACACGGGCCTGACAGACTGCCGCCTGTGTCTTATTTCCACGCTGGGTATTTTGGAAGGGAGGCAGCTGATAACCAGCAGATGTGATTAGAACATCTGCTCGGAGAGCAGGCAGTCTTGAAAAGTGGAAGGAATTTCATAGTCAAGACTTAC